ACCCACCTCACGAGGTGTTGGCCAATCGCTCTGGCAGGCAATAAAGTGGCTGTCAGCCCGCAGGGCTCCCAGCCCGGAGGTGTCATCCCCAACAGGCACAGGCCGGAGCGTGGACACCCAGCATGTGGGCACAGCCTATGAGGAGGACGCTGCTCAGTAAGTACTTCCTTCCTCCCCGCCAGCACCCACTTGCTGTGAACCGCGGGTGTCTGCGGGGAGCAGGGTACCCTCTGTCCCCTGGGAGCTGGGGAGACCGGGCCCCGGGCAGAAGGATGCTGAGACTGAAAAAAAAGCAGGAGGTCAGGCAAAGACAGGGGTCCACTGAGAACACGGCATCTTCACAGGGTGGAGAAGGGGTAACCCAGGAGGGCTTCCAGGGGGAGGCAATGCAGAGACAGCTCAGGGAGCCAGGGGAGGGGACCGATTGGGTGAGAGGCTGGGGCAGCAGGAGGGAGGTGGGAGTTGTGCTGTGGAGAGGAAGCTATAGAAGCTGAGCGGCAAAGTGGGGCACCCCGTCTGGAGGGGCCTCCTACTAGCCTTGATTTGCAGGGTCACAGTCAGCCAGGCACAGGGGCCCTGGAGCCCACACAATCACTCGGCCACATAGCCACACCCACAGGGTGACACACGCCGGGCGACGTGACATCATCCGGAACCCTCAATCTCACCAACCCGGGAACCCCCACATGCAGCCCTGGGCCCCACGGTGGATGGGGCCCATCTGATCTCTTCAACCTTACACAGACCTGCACCCACAGCAGGCACACACCTGGCCCCACGTGCGCACTCAGCAGACACCTGGGGAGGCGGGGAGGCGGGGAGGGGGCCCAGTGGTCGCTGTTCCTGAGGCCCCGGCCCCTCCGCCCGTCCTCCCCCGCCCCCCCTAGCAGCATCTTCCCGGGGCCGGGCGATTATTAGGAAGGGAACGTGGTGTCACTGCCTTCCGGCCATTGCACCACAGGCCCCTTCCGACCACGTGGCCGCTGGTGAGTGGGGGGAGGAGGGCGAGCGGTCACTGTGCCCGCCACCCCCCTCCCCAAACATTCCCACAGGCTCCCAGCACCCCTGTGGGCCTGGCAGACAGGAGTGGCCACCTGTGGAGAGAGGAGGAAGGCTCAGGGTTGGGGGACAGGCTGGCCCTGTGTGACTTGGGCAGCCCTTCTTCAGGGCCTTGGTTTTCCCGTCAGTAAAATGGGTCGGTCACCGGGGGCCCAGGGCCCCGGGGCAATAGCCGTCCCTTGGCCTGGAGGCCTTACCGAGAGCAATCCCACCTGGTCCGCCCCTGTCGGCTCCAGGTCGCATTGCCTCCTCTCCATGCCTCCTTGGTGGATCGCAGCCCCTGTTCCAGGTGCTGGGCAGGTGTCCGTGGCCCCAGCAGGTGCACCCAGTGCCCCCTCCACGGCACAGCCAGGAGGATGGGCTGCACCCTCTGAGCGCCCTCCCCAACCCCTGAAAGCTGGCCCCCGCCATGGCTTCCTCGCCAAGTCAGGTGACACCCCCTCTTTCTGCTCCAGGTCTGATCCTCAGGCTCCTGTTCCTGAACCCAGTGTTCATGGGCGCCTGTCCGGGCGACGGCCGAAAGCTCCTGGAGCAGCTGTGGAACCAGGCGAACCTCCTGCAGGACACCAGCTTGCTCCTGGACCCCTATGTGAGCACCCGCCCCGGGGGCTTAGGGCGGGAGTGAGCCGCAGAGAGGATGGGGATGGGGGTGGGGAAACCGAGTCCCCCTGTTACTCCAGAACCGTGTCAGACACCCACCCGGGGCCTACTCCCGAGACAGTACGGCTTCCCTAGCTCAGGGGGCCTGGGGTGTGAACCCGGCTGCACCACTTCAACCCTCCATCTGTCCAGCATGCTTACTGCATGCCCCGCCTCCCACATGCCTTGTCCTCGGCCCCCCAGATGCAGCAGCGAACAAAACAGTCCTGCTCTCCTGGGGCTCGTGGTCACCTTCCCATGGACACGCCCCCCACCACAGTCACTGCCTGTGCGGTCACCCCCAATAGGACCCCTGCATGACCCTGCCTGCAGTGGCCAGAGAGTCCTCTCCCCTTTTGAGCCTCAGTTTCTGGATCTGTACAATGGGCAGGTTAGCTGGGGGGTGGACGAGGTCAAGCAAAGCATGTCAAGGCTGACCAGAGCAGACGTGTGTGTGTGTGTGGGGGGGTATGTGCACACATGCGCACAGTGGGGGCTCTAGCACTCACCCCCTTGTTCTCCTCCCCCCCAGGTCCACATCCAAGGCCTTGACATGTCTGGACTGAAACAGGGCTGCCAGGAGCGCCCCGGGGTCTTCCCCAGCAAGCAGGCCCTGGAGGGGCTGAGCAGGACGGACTTCCTGCGGACCGTCAGCACCCAGCTGGGCCAGGTGCTGCGCAGGCTGCAGGCACTCCAGCAGGACATGCCCAACGTCCAGGCCTGGGGGATGGCCATCAGGTACATCCACGGGATCAGGAACAACATCCACTGCATGGAGGAGCTGCTCCCGGGCTCCC